AGGAGGAGGTTGATGGACTGGGGGCGGTCAGGGGTAACTGCTGATTCGCGCCTCGTGGGCCCGAACCGGAGTTACCCCGGACCGCAGTCATCCTGGATCACTCTGGCGTCCCATTCGTTGTCGTCGCCTCTCCGCCGACCCTCCTGCACGTTGCGGCGTCCCGAGCTGAATCATCCATGTCCCAGGCTCCCCAGGAACCTGCCGGCCCGCGATGGCAGAGAGATCTGCGGCCGACATGCCCAGATCAGCGGGCTGAGGAGCAGGGTGGGATCTTGGAGTCCTCTTCTACGCTGGCCTCCTCCTCCTCCTCCTCCGAGAGTCGAGGATAGAGGTTGTTGCACGTACCTGGTTTTGTTGTGCCTCAGGGAGCCTCGGGAGACGTTATCCATCGTCGTCGTCATCACGGTCATTGATTATCCTCTTCCTGCCCCTCGTTTCCCTTGCCGTCGTCGGTGAGCTGAAAGGAGGGAAGGGCATGATGATGATGCTGATCATGATGATGAGGATGAGGATGAGGTTGATGCTGCTGATTTAAGGTCGTGATGCTGATGACGATGATGTTGATAATGTTGGTGATGATGAGGTTGATGCTGATGATGATGATGATGATGATGATGATGATGATGATGATGATGATGATGATGATGGTAAGAACGATGTTGGTGTTGATGGTGATGATGATTATTATCATGATGCTGTGATGCTGATGGTGACGATGATGCTGATGATGATGATGGTGATGATGATGCTGTTATTGATGTTGATGATGATGATGATGGTGATGATGATGATGATGATGATGATGATGATGATGATGATGATGCTGATGATGATGATGATGATGATGATGATGATGATGATGATGATGATGATGATGATGATGATGATGATGGGAAGGAAGAGGAGGAAGAGGAGGAGGATGTCAACGGTAAGCCCCAGCTGCGTTCACGATGTTGAAATACACCATGTCGTCGCAGGCCCTCCTCATAAGTCTCTACACCATTCCTCCGCACTGTGGGACGCGTCCCCCTTGAGTGACGAGCGCCCCGGTGGGCCCACCACTCGGGCGAGACTTCGCTGCTTGCAGAGGATCCGAGCTAAAGCACATGCAGACATGCAGGATGCGAGGTTTCAGCGGCCCGTCCAGCGACGGCCTTGTTCTGGGCAGTGGCGGCCCTCCGCGCGTGCAGGTGCTGCGCACTTGCAAGGCACGTGGTGATCAGACTGGCGGGGTCTCAAGAACGAGACCCCCACCTTTTGAGAGGCCGCTGCGGCACCGTTTCGAACTCCGCGTCGTATGCTTGGAGGGAAGTCTGGAGCGAGAGCCGCCTTTCGAGCACACGCTGACACATCCATCCCCGTAACTGTTCGAGGCTTCAAATAGAGCGTTCGCGGCGCGACACGGCGGGAGCCGCGTTTCACCTTCCATGCATGCAATCGTTGAGAACTTCATGCACGAAGGTGCGCGGCGCTGTGGCGAGAGCCGCATCGAGTGGCCATCAACCCATCCCGCCACCGTGCCTGGGTTGTGGGTCTGGAGCCTATTGGATGTTCGTTGGGTTTGAGGCCTCTTGGGGGCCGTTTGGGGGCATTGAGGGGGCTCTTTTTGGGCCTCTTGGGGGCCTCCTGGGGGCCTCCTGGGCGCCTCTGGGAGCCTCCTGGAGGCCTCTTGGGGCGGAAAGCTTGTATTTTCGGTTCGTGTTCCCCGTCTTGGGCCCCTTTTGGGGGGTCGTCTTTGGTCCTTCTTGGGCCATTTGGGGCGCCTCTTGGGTCGTGCTGGGCCCTCTTAGGCCGTTTTGGGGCCCTCTTGGAGGCCTCTTGGGCCGTCTTGGGGCGATCTTGGGGGCCTCTTGGAGCGTCGGGAAGCCGAAAAGGCCTGGCCTTCAAAAGCCACAGGCACATCAATGATATGTACCTCTTGGGGCCCTCTTGGGAGGCCTCTTGGAGGCCTCTTGGGTCGTCGCGGAGGCTTCTGGGCCTTCCGGGGGCCATCGTGAGTGTCTTGGAGCGGTCGTTCGGCGACTCGGTGCTCTCTTGAACCGTCTTCGGGGCCTCTTGGGAGCCTTCTTTGGGGCCCGACAATTCACGGAACAAGCCGCGGGGGAGCCCAGGGGAACCGCGGCAAGTCCCGGGAGATTTTGGAAATTTGGGTCGGGACTTCCTCATGAGTTAGGGTTCAGGCTCCAGGGATTCGGCAGAGGACCTGAGGACACGCCAACTTTGAAGCCGCCGGCTCTCCACGCAGTCGTTCGAAGCTGGAAAAGTAATGCGCGAGGCGCTACGGATTTTGAAGACGGCTAACCCACTTGTTTGTTGTTGTTTTTTGAATGGTCAGCATGGGACGGTAGTAGTAAGGAAGCTTCAAGCGAAACGCCCGGCCCGGCTACGGACACGTTTGGTAGTGCGACAGGAGGGAGTGATTGATAAGGGACGGAATGGCATGGAATGGAATGGAATGCAATGGAATGGCATGTAATGGAACGAGGTCAATGAACAAGTCTTGGATTCAGAATGAAGCGGGATGGAGAGAGCAGGAGGGGAGAGGAGGAAGAGGAGGCGGAGGAGAAGGAGGGGGAACATGAGGAACATAAGGAGGGCGAAATGGTGGAGAAACCATGATAAGGATAAAGATGAGAGCAATCATATTGCAGAGCCTACATATTGTTGAGGGTTCGGGAGTTGCTCCTGGTTCCCTCCTTCTACTCGTGTTCCTCCTCATCATCCCTCTCGTCGTCCTCCTGCTCGTCCTCCTCATTATCCTCGTCATCATCGTTCCCTTCTCGTCACCATTACCTTCTCGTCTCCCATCCTCTGGTATTTGCTGGTTGGATATCATCTGTTCTTTGTCCTCAGTGTTTCCCCCTGTCTTCCTTGACCAGTCTCCTCCTCTTCCCCCCTCCTCTCCTTCCTCATTCCCATCCCCGCCTTCGTCCTCCCGCTCGTCATTCCCCTCCTCGCCGTCCTCCTGCTGCTGTCCTCCTCTTTCCTTCCCCCTCCCCCCTCCTCCTCCGCCTCGTCATCCCGCTCCGTCCGCTCCGCTCCGCCCCCCTCCCCCTCATCCCCCGCCCCGCCTCCTTCCCCTCCTCCCCCCTCCCCCTCCCTCTCCACAATTATTCAACAATATGAATACTACTCTCCGTCTTCCCCTGATGACGGCTTGAAAGTGTTAGCCCCCTCCCCCCCCGCGTACTGTTTTTTACACAGGACTCCCCGGAGTTGGGTTTTCGCCTGCATTTGTTTCCAAAATGCTGCTCTCGCTGAGGCGCCGGCCTCATTTTCGGGCCCCGAATCGTGCTCCCGCTGCAGCGCTGGCCTCATTTCCGTGCTTCCGCTCGTTCCGACTCGTGCTCCCGCTGCAGCGCTGGCGTCATTTCCCGTGCCATGCCACGGCATGCAATGCAATGCTAGGTTGATACTACGCTTTGCGGTGCTCTTCTACGCCATGCCATGCCGTGCTCTACAATGCATCGCGTACCCTTTCGGGATCATTGCCCTGCTCGACATCCGACTGTGCGAGTAGAGAGGGGATCTACGCCATGGTAAGGGATGGGAGGGAGGGGTAGGATGTCAGATATGACGCGAGCGCACCTAGCTTGCCCTCCCCCCCTCCCCCTCCTCCCCCTCCCCCCTCTCCTCCCCCATTCGGCCAGCCTTCGCTCGTACTGCTCCCCTGACCCTGCCGCGCTCCTCCTCCTTCGCCTCTCCTCTTCCTCTTCCTCCTCCTCCTCCTCCTCCTCCTCCTCCTCCTCCTCCTTCTCTTCCTCCTCCTCCTCCTCCTCCTCCTCCTCCTCCTCCTCCTGCTCCTCATCCTCTCCTCTCCTCTTCCTCTCAGGTCGCGCAGCGTCTGGCCAACGAGAATGATGCGCGCGCCGGGAGGGCCGGGGGACGGATAAGCAGGTAGACCTGTAGGGAGCTTCTGTCCGGAGGGGTTCGGCGTCTGTCCTGTCTCCCTTTTTTGCATCGAAGGCGTCGAAGGGCCAGAGCCCGTACGCGCGCGCCCGCGCGACCTCTGTCAACAGTTACAGGCGATTGGAGCGCGCCTGATAGGCCTAACGAAGCTTCAGGATATACATTACGGCGGTCTGTTGCCCTCACGATAGACTGGAACTCTAGACATGCGGTCGGGAACCTCTGATTCTATAGTATCTCGTGCCTCAGGTGCTGGCCCACTACCCTGTGGCGCGACACGCTATCCATGTCCTCATCCTCGAACGTCAACAACCCAGCCTCTTTCGAAGCCTTCGACCGTGCGAGGTGGAGCGACACGTTATCCGCATGTAGGTCATAGCGTGTCGCTGGGGCCGCCTCCGCGACACGCTGAGCAACAATTTCTGACCTCAGTCCAGTCCAGTCCAGTTCTCCCCCTCCTGCCTTCTCCCCCCTCCTCCCTCCCTCCCTCCTACCTTCCTCCCTCCCGCCTGTGAGGTCCTTCGTCCCAAACAACGTTCAACATCGCGAAAATCACGACTGGAGCCCTAGACCACACCTGTTTGCGGCATGAGTCGCCAGATTGATCCGTGATGGTCCCAGGACCCGAAGACGCGCGAAAAAGCTCGGCGTGAAGACATGACACCCCCTTCCCTGTTTTTGGTTTTCGGGCCAGAACTCTGGCCTCCAGCGCCCATTCGGGACGATCCTGGCGCCCCTGGAACGCCCGCGGTGAGGCGCAGCCGCTGGAAGGCATCCTGAGGCTGCAAAGCCGCCGAAAACCAGTGAGACTTAGGGAAACCTCGAACCTCGAACCTCGCTTACTCCCCCCTGAGCCTACCCCTCATGATTTGTTCACGCATTCACCCCCAGCGACCTCGAAGCTTTCCCCAGGGCCAGCTTTTCATCCTGAGAATTTTTTCGACGGTCCTGGGGCTCGCTGAGGGCCGTCAGCGGCCGCAAACGTGCAAATACTGTCCGTCGTATCCCCACCACGAACCTCGAAACCTTTTCCTCCCTCCCCCTCTCCTCCCTCCCTCCCCCTCTCTCTCCCTCCCTCCCTCCCGGCAGCAATGGGCCCGCAGAGCCGGCAGAGCCTCACCGCGGCGGGCATCGCCCACCACCTGGACCCGAGCCCACGGTCGCCCGGCGGGCGCCCCAGCGGCAGAGCGGGCGGGGCTCCCGATCCTCGAGGCCCGCGTGGTGCGGCTTCGGGGTGCGCACCGGGGAGCCCTCCCCGCGCCCCGGGAGTCCCAGCTGGCCCCAGATCGAGGGCCGCAGGCAGGGGGCCCCGGGGCCCCCCGAGTGGCCCCCGAGCTGCCACCGCGCGGGCGCGTTCCTTCGCCCCCGCGCCCCCTGCCCCCGATCGCGAACGCCCGAGACCCGTTGTTCTCTGCGGGCCGCTCCCTCCATGGCAACGTCGCGCGGCCGTCGCTGCTGCATCGTCGAAGAGTTGTTCAG